ACCCTTGCAGCTGGGTGGCCTTGCCAGGTGTCATTCCAGCTGCTGCTTCATCCCAAGGAGTGTCAGCTTGTTTGGCATCCCTTAAACATTGCATCTTACCTATCAAATGCTGGGACTAAACTGATGGAACTGACATTAAAAAACATCATTACTGATAAAGACCAAAGCACTCCTTACTTTTAAATAAATCTAACATGTAAYTGGATAATTTTAATGACTGTAGAAACTGTAGTTCTCTATATTTACATACATGTAATGGGAGTGTTTCCCATGCAACAATAAACCATCACTGCTATTATAAAATAATGAAATTTTATTCACTATACTATAAAATTAAAAAACTAATTGAGTGTACTAGTTTAGCACAATTCCCACAAGCTATCATTCTTTAATATTGTGAAATGGATGGGGGGTTTGTGAAGCTATTAATTGTTACTGACAAGCAATAACCACTGRAATGAAACTCCAATTATCAGCAACCATTAATCACATTTACTGTCATCTGCGATATCAAAAAAATTTCTAAACAGCTAAAAGGAATTTATATCTCTTATGTTTTAGCTCATTTTATAGAAATCAGATGGTCTTTTGCTAGGATAAGCAAGGAATTACAAAAGGGTATTTTCAGTCCTGCTCAGTCTTGTATTTTCCAGTTTAAAAAACGCTCCCACTTTATTGCATTTTGATGGAGACTCAGATACTGTGCACATTTGTTTCTATACAGTTATGTACAATTTATAATGTAATTGTTGCTAACATGATGTAATTGCAGTCACTGGCTTTAAAAAAAAGAAATTATAGAGATCATCTGAACATGCAGTTCACTAGTCTGTTCCAGGAAAACAATTAATGTTGCTTTTAGGATGCAGCTTGATCAGGTGTRGTGTTCTTGGAGACGAGGGCACAGACAAGGGAGACAGAGTCTTGCTCAGAAAACATTGTTCTATGCTTTTCATCTTGTTCATTTTTCAGATTCTGTTGTTTACTTCAAATGATTGTTTTCCTTTGAACCTACTCAGTGTATCAAAGACATTCTTGCACATCTTTGGGAATCAGAGGATGGAAGCTGTTCAGTGCTAGTGGGTGGCTTGGCCAGATGCACAATGTAGACGTGGCAGTTAAAAGGCCTCACTTGCAAAATGGGATCTGCTTACTGCAAATTTCCCCTAAAAATAACAAATAGCATGGTTGGACCATTAAGGACATATTGTGACCCTTACTCTTAAATGTTATTGAGGTTTTCCCTGAGCTACAGAAAATTGTGCTGGGTGATCAGGATTTGAGGCTTTGCCAGTTGTTTACCTTGACAGTCTGTCAGCTTTTGCTGGCATAAAGACTTCGATTTAGAATGAAGAAGCATTTCGGAAACAGAATAAGGAAGATGAATAAGGAGGAATTTGGAAGCACTGGTCCACAATCTGCTGTGCATAACTTCATTTGGAAAAAGCACTGAAATCCTAAATGTTTTATCTACTATACTGTGTTGTCCACACAACATGAGAAAATTCAGGAACATGATTCTTTGTCATGAGAAAACTCTGGAACATGATTCTTTCCTTGACTTCAACTCCCAAATCCTCCCATTTATCTTTTTTTTTTTTATTTTTTTTAATTGTTCAATATGAAACTTGAGTAGTTTGTTATTTAGTAAAAAATAATACTAGAAATAATTACCATGCTATGATAAGATTTTAGTCTGAAGGATTCACACTGACATTTCATTTCCCATATTTAATTAAACATTTATATCTTTTCAGAGGAAATACTAGGTATTTAAAAAAGTTATTTTCCATTACCAATTTAAAACTGCTGCACTAAAAATTTATCATAAGTAATGCATTCATTTATGCTTGTTGTCAAGGTGACAGAGTTTATCAGAATGGCAGAAATCAAAGTATTTAAAATGTTGTAAATTCTCAATGTATTTTGGTAAGATAAACACTAATTCTGTCAAACAGTAGTTGTCTTTCATTAGTATGGAATGGAATTCATTCTTAGAAGAAAAAATATGCAAATATTACTCTGCCTTGTAATAATAAACAGCTTTCCTTTAAAGAAGATAATAATAGGCCAATGTTTGATAATTTAGCAACTATATAAACACCGTGTCTTTAAACACCATGACTTGAGCTGTCAGTTAACTGATTGAAGATTCCTGYTCTCTTAAAAAGGAAGAACACCCTTGAGTATACTAGTGAGAACTCGCTTTCCCCCTTCTTTTYTTTCTTTATCTCTCACTGAATAATAACCCTCATTTAGTGACATCAGTCATTTTTGCCATCAGCCTTTCTTATGGCTGGAGCAGAAGCATGAATGGCACACACACTGAAATGTGTGCGTGTCATGAGTCAGTGTTATCATTTTGTGAGAAATGAACATGGATGCAGTAATTTGCATGGCAGTTGCAGCTTGGCCTCTCCTGCCATCACTGGGAAGCAAATATGTGCAAAAGTCAACCAGTGCAGTGGCAAACCTTGAGGCTGGTAAACTGCACCCACTGGGTTTTGGTAGAGAGTAYAAGCTAGCAAGGGCCATGCAGCCATGAACTTCTGTTCACTGTAATGTTTCTGTTATCTTTAAATGACACTGAGACACTTAAATGACTTACCAAAAATAAAAAAATCTTCCTAATGGCTGGTAAAATAACAAGAAAGCAAAGTGCATAACCCATAATAGGAAATATTTGGAGTTACTAGAATTTATCTGATTAAAAGCTCTAAATGTCTGGCTAATGGCAGCAATCTACTTTTTGGCTGCTCAAACTGAACACTTGAATAGATGATAGATTTGAAGATGTCATCTGAAGCATTGCACAATTATCATGAAAARTTTGAAAATAATCCGTTCTTGTAACAGATCTTAAAATGTCCCATCGATGGACTAAGGCAATTAGACCAAACTACTCCTAAAACCAGCAGGCCTTTATGTTTCTGTTATTTGATATCACAAAATTTCTTAGYTAAAATTTCAATGGTGACTGAATAATAGCTTCCAAAGAGTGATCTAACCTTTGTTGGATTTTGTTTCAGTCAGACAATTCTGCTTCTGAATTCTGATCTATTGTAGAAAGCAAGCCTTTTTAAATTTAAATTTGTTTTGAAATTTCTTAGGCCCTAGGGCAGCTCACTTATCTGATATTGAATGGATACAATTAATTATTATTCTTTTACTTTACCTGTTTTCAGCAAATACCCTCRCACTTTATTGTTTTACTAATTCATTTAATGATTTTATTATAGCTGTGCCTATGGAATCTCATTTGGAGATTACTGATTAAAAGTTTTCTCCAGCCTACCCCATGTAAAATTATCTTCGATGTAAAACAGTATTTTGGGAATRTGTGTGGCATTGCACATAGCATTTGCTGACTTTTGAGTCAAATCTGCTTTAAGGTTGTCTGTAGGCTTTAACATATTGTGGCTGGCAATTTCTCCCTGTTTGAATTTTCCCAATAGAGTTTATTACTTTTCAGTAGCTGGAAAGGAGTGTAGCACACTTTCAACTCTTTTTTTAGTTTCATCTCCATTTCAGTTACAGACCTTACTGATATAATTAAGAACTATGTAATTTGCCTTTATTTTTCTATATGCCTTGAGTGTGTTCTGTTCTTTCACTTAGAGTGCACTCCCCAAGGTAATACAAAATAATAACATACCATATGGCGAATGGAATCAGCTGTAACACCATGCAGTGTGTTTTATCCTGTAGCTTGTTCAGTATGACATTCCCAYGTTTGTAACTGATGAATATTGCATGTCCTAGAGAAATTCCAGCTGTATGATGCTGATTCTCCTATTAGWGGATCCTTGCAGATGCTCTGCAAGCATGCAGCAGCTATCAATCAACAATGCACCAGGAACTGACAGAATGTCTCAATGCCAATCCTACCAAACTGCAAAAAGTTATCATGAACACAGTAGTGTGTTATGAATTGTGCAGCATGTAATTAATATGTTAACAGTAATATTTATATGTTTTCTGAGGCTTGACTGAGGATTTGTGTTTGTTTTAATGTCTTTAAAGCTCTTGGGAATTCAAAGAATGTGTCATTACAGTAGTAAAGTAGGTTTGGAGTCAGTATTCTGAAACATCCTGTCTGGAAGCATTAGATGAAAAAATGAAAATTAAATATAATCATAAATAAGGATTTTGTAGAGTTGTAATTGTAGAGTTGAAATACTGTAGAGTTGAAATACTTCCTCAGGGGCAAGAGGAATTTCTGTTTTGTGGGTATGCTGAATGGGTGTGATAAGTTGATGGTGTTACCTAGGAATGCAAAACCCTGTAAGTAACTATTGCCTAATMCTTCATGTGTGTTGCTATACCAGCATCTCAGGTTAGCTTTAGTTCTGTGAGTGGAAGGGAGAGGTATCGATTAAGTAGATATATATGTAATTTTTAGCTATGATTTTCTTTCCATCTTCTTTATGTGGTAAAAATGTAATTTCAGTCTAAAAGTAAATATATCTAAAAAGTTAATMGGATGTTTCTGTCGTGAACAGTTCCATCAGGTGACCTGCAGCTAGCCTGGTTTCCAGCTTGTTTTAGGGAATTGAGATTATACGGTGTGTACCCCATTGAGTGCTCCCACAAGTGGTACAGCAACTCGTCTCCAAAGCAGGAAGCTGCTGCTTTTCTGCAGTGCACTTGCAATGCCCCAAGAGAKCAGTTCAAGGACAGGATATTGTAAGGTTTGAGAACTTTTAGGGCTGTTAAGAAGGAGCAGTAGCACACATAGCACAACTCACATATGCTCCTGTGTCAAAACACTATTCATTTGACTTACTGTAGCAAATAGTGTAATGTTYTATTTAAAGGAAATAAAATTAAATACAGGAAATGAATGTGAGTTGAGGTTAACAGGGTATATGTATTGTGTATGTACATATGTCCATAGACACAGATAGAAGGAAATTTCAGGAATACTAGGAAGGGCAAGATAATTTGGCACAATTCYTTGTACATTTTACACATTATACAGAATCGCCTGAATTCCTTACCTGAATTGTTAGAAACAGCTCTGTCTTTTTGTCCTTAATTTGTCTTTCTTGTATATTTGTGTCGTRTCTACTGCTGTTCTCTGCTGTTTGCTTGCCTCCTCATCACATATGAAACCAGYGTGGACTCTGTTTTGAAAAACCTGCATTGAAAAATGTCCACAAGTTACATTATGGGTAAATGACAGACTTCTTGTTTMATTACTTTTCTTTCTATGTTCTACAAAAACAGGGATAGAACAGTTAGAGACTTCGGGTSAAGTACTGAAGTAGTAAGTTTGTTGATGTGAATACTGACATATTTTTATATTGCTAACCACTTAAATCCATGCACAGAACCTTTTTATATTCATTTTATCCACAMAAAATGTGTGAACACATTATGTCCTAGAACACAATATATGTGCTYATGCAAAACAGAAAACATTAGTGTTTGGCAAGTTGTCCTTTGTAAATCCAGGCAAGACCTTTAGTGACCAGTCATGGTTAGAGGTGCCACAGACTAATTGCAGTATTGATCTCTTTTCTTTGAGGCCTAATCTTGAAGTTTGCACCAAGGTGTCTCGCTGATACACCTCTGCAAAGTTCAGTGATTTTCACAGAATTGTGATGAGGCTTGGAAGAATTCTCTTTATATTGTTGTTTTGTGGGTTTTTTTTTTTCCCTTAGAACTTATATTTTGGCTTTTTGCAGTTTCTAAGAATCCCTGCTCCATCTCTTGGGTCTCTTTTCCCCATCTTTGCTTTTGAATAATCATGGCTTTAGGTATGAATTTGTAAATTAAAATTGTATTGTCCTGTGTTATGAACTTAAATGTRACCAACATTCTTATTTCTAAGCCTTTGACTTCCTTAATTAAGCCTGAGATAAACACCTGTTTGTGGAATCTGATGATGATTATTTGAAATGACACATTTTTGTCATACAACCAGATATGAAATATAATTAATATTTGGAAATGCACCATAGTGCCAAGGAATTTTAATAGSAATAAACTGTTGACTATTGGGACACTATTTCTAGAATGAAAAGCATRTATTTGAAATAGTTTTTACATTCATGGGGATTTTTATTTTGCTTGAGAAGGACAACAGCTCTCTTTTTTGGCCCTTTTCCAGAAGGATTTKTGTCAGAATGCAGACACAAAGCATAGAAGCACTTCAAATGGCTTCCTTTAAAAGGTTCTACCTTTAATGCAGGGAATCCTTGAGTGTCGAGTCTCAAGGACTGCACAAACCTCTGCACTCCCTGACAACTGAGCCTGGACTGGCAGCTTTCTGTGGCTCAGAGACACCCAAATACTGTACACTGGACAGAGCCAGAAAAAAACCAACATGTAACTAGCTTAAAAAGGGTAGAATTTGGATTCACATTTCCCTTTGTCTCATTGCCAAAAAGCTTTACATATAATAAACACAGTCATCAAAATTCACTTATGACAAGTCAGAGTTGGCTTGTGCATCATTTATCACAAAGTTCTGCCATTAGTCCCATCTTCATACACTTTAACATGTCAGATGTGTTTCCTTAGAGCATGCCACATTTTATTAAGGTCTCCAGCTTCTCACGGGGACAATATTAAATGAAAATCATTCTTATTTGCCTGGAAATTTACGCCATACACCAAATACCCTTTTATCTGTGATTATTTAGCAGGAACCATCTGTCATGTCCCCATCCCCACAGTGCTGAGGAAGGCAGACTCTGAAGGTGAGAAGTATATTTACTTTTGACAACAAAAGCAGCTGCTGCTGTTACTTTTAGCTTTAAGGCAAACATGCTGGAAAAAGTGGCTCTGCATTGTGGTTCTACTGTACTGGGACCAACCATGTCTGATGATGACAGAAAACCTCTTAAAATCGGAAAGAAAATTCCTGTATGGTTTGTGTCAGAAGGGCATGTACAAACACAGCTCCAGCTGGGAGGCAGAACCAAGAAGAAACTTGGGGCTAGAAAAGTATCAGGACAACTTCAAGTAAGAATCTCCCCCTTCTTCTGTCTTCCTTTTGGTAGAAAATTACATTGCAAAAGAAATTATTTTTCTCTAATGATAACACAAGGTTCTGAAATTAGGCACAGCAGGTAGAAACACCCAGCATAGAATTTTTTTTTGAATTGCATATTCATGTGCTGAAATCTTTTCCAATGCTGACAGCTAACTATTCCAAAAGGTACAAACTCTGCTGTTCATTCTGCCAATTTCCCTTCTTAAATCTCTTGCACTGTGTTTTGGGGGCTGTGTACTCTAAATCTCTTTTTCTTACCATCATCCCTGGGGCTAAGAAAGATATTTACAGAGACAATTTTTTTTTTAAAAAGGATTGCAGAAAATAAGAATAATTATAAATTTATGGGAAAGGGAAAAGGGATATTTCTTCAGTAAAACCAGTTAATTCCTGTTACCTTCTTTCATGGTATACAGGGGTGCACTGTGCTAGGATGTAAACATACCTAGAGCATATTTCAGGACCAAAAACATAAACACTGGCGGGAAAGGGCACTTTATGCAAATGTGTTTCMTGAGTGATGGCTCTCCCTCCCTGATGGTTCTGGCAAGACATAATAATTTGGGAAAATAAGTGGAGTGTCCTGCCCTTTAGCTCTGTTCTCTAGAGCATGTACATCTCCTTGCAAATATGATTATGGCAAAAATAAAAGGTTCATTTAGGAGGGAGCTTCTTTTAAAATATTTTCAATATATCACTGTAGAAAATAGTAGAGAAAAGCAGAGCTATAAATGACAACACTTATAGGAAGAGGAAACAGATCAACATGCCTCATTCTGTACTGCACTCATTTTCCTTTTACAGCCCACCTGTCACTCCTGTTATCATTGTCTAGAAAAGAATTTACAGTAAGTCTTTGCTTCAATCAGTTTCCATGGTGATTCGGTTCTGTTTTAAAACCTTTACATAAAAATGGCTTGGTTAAAATGATAATGAAGTGCAGTGCTCACCCATACCTGAATTACTTTTCCCACTGCTCAGAAATGATCAGCTAGGGGTGTCACTCCATCTGCTCTAGTTCCTTTGGGTTCTGTGACATTGTTTCAGTAACCAAGTCAGATCAGCTTGCCATCTGGAAATCAGTTTGCAGAGATGTAGGGGATTCATGGCTAGCGTTTGCACATGGCATGCTGTGAAACAGAGTAAATCACTTTGGGGTGTGGAGTCTTGAGTTCACTGGGGAAGCATCCCCCTGCATGCACAGTACCTACAGTGGGACCACGGCATCTTTTAACATATGTACCTGAAGAGGCAGACTGTTTTTCTTGTAGAAAACACTTTTCTCAAAGGAAAAAGAGAAAAAAATACCCTTCAGACTAAGTCAAGGGGGAAAAAAAGTTCAGAAAAAAACAGATGAAAGTTTTAATTGACTCTAAGAATAGTGTGATAAAGTCTCATCATTGTGGATTTGTGTTTTATCCAGCTTTTAGTTATCTCTTACCCTAGTTTCAAGCTCATCTCTTACACTTGTAGTTTCTGATTCTCTGGCCCAGTTTGACTTTTTCTTTGACGATCTTGTTTGTAATTCTGATTACTTTATACCATCCCAATTCTCATCTAAGAGAAAAATCAACTTTTTTTTTTAATGTAATTTAATAGTGCCAAGTTTCAGTTACAGGGAAATCTTAAAAGAACTTCTAATGTGTGTCTGACAGAGATCTTCAGCAATTTGAAAACTTGCTGCATTTCATAGGAAATGACATCTTTCCTGTGATATCAGGTATTCTTAAAATTCTGTGCTAGATCTRCTCTTGTTGTATTGGGTAGCTTAATATTTATAGAAGAAGATTTTTGTTCCATTTCAGGCACTGATAGAATTTATGAAAGCAATTTTACACATCTGTGTCCTTAAGGCAGGCATTCAAAAAGCTCCTGAATGTAGGTATAGACCAGTTAATTTGTACTGAGTTTGTCCAAGACTAGGTAAAGATCTGCTATTTCAGCATGGGACAACACATTATTTTCCTGTGATAAGTGGTTACCCAGCTGGCCTGTATTAAGCATCTTAAATAACAGAAAGAGGTCCATGTTTTCATGGTGTTTTATGGTTTGGATGGTGGGGGTCCTGATGCCTTGTCCTCAGCAGTACTGAAGGGCTCTGCTCAGGGATGTTTCACAGATCTCATTTCTGAGCAGCCTTACTACACAAGGCGTGTGTATGCTATTTYTTACATGGGTTAATTTTTGTTAACACTCAACTTGGTCATCTACTGATTCTTTTAAGTAAATGTGATCTCTCTGAAATTTAGTTGYTCCTTAAAAGGTATCAGTATCCTGTCCCAAACCAAATAATATGGGTGTACTAGAAGTTTGATTTAGACCTTACAATTCCTCCCCCAAAATTGAAAAAATAAGCTTTCTAATGCATTTTTTCTAGTTCTTATTTTTAACTAACCATTTCATTTATTCCCCTTGTCCTAGCACTGTCCTGTAGTCATTAATTTCTGAGGGAAGGGCAATGTCAAATCAGGGTATCATAAATCTACTGAATTCCCTTCATCAGTCATGGCAATAACGTCTTCTCAGTACTCCTGTGTGTCAGTCGAGTGTGACCTGCTCTGACTGATCTGTGCAGACTATGCTTAATTGACTGTGCTTTTCCAGTGAGCATTTTAACTTTCACACAATGATTTTTTCAATAGCTGACATCCAAACAACTGGTCTCCATTTGCTGGATGAAAGAATAAATAACATCAGATGCTTTGTCAGTTCAAAAAAGTAGTTGCTTATTTTTAATACTTTTAATATCTTTTAACTCAACTGAGCAATTAATTCTGCTTAAAATTTCCATTTTTTTTTATTCCTTTTACAATCCTTTGTATAAAAAAGAGGCCTTATTCTGTGCCTCTTCACTCTTGTAGCATTATAGATTGTACCCTGATAAAAAATCAGTGCTCCAGAAATACTAYAGCTTGATATGAAAACTGATCATACTAGTTGGCTGCCTGAAATGGGAAATTCCTTGTTATATATGGSCTTTAATACAGTTCTTACTTTAATTAGTCTGCTCATTACAGTGTAGTACAACAGGCTGTATTTTCTTTTGCCCCAAGTATTTTTCATATATTCAGCAGATCAGTTGCTAACTGCAAAATCATCTCAGTTGTATTATTTGGTATTTCAGCCTCTGA